CGCAACAAAGCCAATTTATATGACACATGACTTTTACATCCCTCGGTGCATTCATTTTGAACAACGGCACACTATGTGTTTCATTTATTGTAATAAGCATGACATTAAGTATATGTAAAGCAATAAACTAATTGTAAGGAGTATCCTTCTCTAAAAATCTGTCCAATTCTAGAATAAGGGCAAACGGGTATGCAACTCTGGCCTGCCGAGCCGCTGCAATGTCCCAGTCCTTACCGAAACTGCAGTGCTCCCCCCTCCCCTTTTCTTTCCCGCATAAACCCCTTATTCCTTCCAATTTCCTTTACGCGTTTCCAAAGTTTCCTTCCTTATTTCCTCAATATTTCCTTACATACCATAGGTGGTAAACCACCAGCAAATGCATTCCTAAAAAAGGTTGATGTCAGGCAGGCGGCCGGTCGTAAAACTATAAGCCAAATCTTTTTGTAATATGGATAAAACTATATTACGCCGACCACAAATAATAATTGGGATAAGGGGAGGGAGATTATGATGTAAAGCAAAAAATTTTCTTCTCTTTCTTTCTTCAATTTTTTTATCAGTAATTAAAATAATTTTAAGCCGACCAAACGTAGCGAAGAGGCAACAGAGAAGAAGAGGGAGAAGACTTTTTAAGAATGAAAGGATTTTAATTTAATCTAATACAAAGAAAAACACAGCCTTGACTAACAAAAACGATAGTTACAACCCTAATTGCGTGGACAAAACCAGATAATATAGTTAGTATGTAATAAATTCTCTAAATTTCATACTGAACATTTTATCAATTGGCCATGTGGTTCTGGCATAGAATAGGCCACCCCATTCTTTCCCGTGGGTGTCGTAAGAGGCGACTAAAGGAGGGCGAGGGATGGGCAGCAGCGTCCCTCTTAATACATCTCTAAAAGCCTAACTGCGGTCGCCAACCCGCCTGCCAAGCGTGGCAACTACTAGCAAAACTCTTCTTATGGGAAAGTCTTATGTTCAACAGTGGACAGTTAACGGCTGAAATAATAATAATAAAAATAAAATTTGTCAATAATTAATCTTGAACCTGGGACTTTATTTGATGTGGATTTATGAGTAATTATTCTCCAATAGGTACCTATAGTTAATCAATTTATGCACGAAGGGATATGTTAATAAGTTAGTTACCTATAGGGAGACAGCCTGTCATTTACCATTATACTAACTAGTTTATGAATTTAGTTATTACAAAAGTCAACAGTTTCATCAAATGTCTGGAATATTATAATACATATACGAGTAACTTAAACTTACCTAATATAGCTTTTTAATATTAATTAGTTTTTAATATCTTATTTAAAAATTCTGAGAAAATTATACAAAGTAAATTGTTATTTTTACAAGTACTAGTAAATTTCGTAGCCTTTTCGTAGCTGGTTGCTACGAAAACACTACGTTGCTACGTATGTAGACGTTCTACAATAGTATGAACTGTTCAGCTAATCGTTACAAAATTGGGGGAAAAGGACTGGTGGTGATGAACTCTAGAAGCCTCATTGCTAGAATAGACCTTATCAGGTCGACCTCCACGCGGTTCCCCAGGAAATCGTCGTGGTTAATTCTTTTTGTATTCATTCATCATGATAGGCCAACTGACCTGCCATCATTCTCAGCTATCATCTCTTACTGGTGCCCCGCCGGAGTACACCGATAGCTCAGGCAGCCATTACCTGTCCATTGCTGAACATAGGCCTCCCCCATAGACTGCTATAAGGAACGGTCTCGAACCACCTGCATCCACTCCTCCCTGCAATGCATTTAAGGTTGTCACTCCATCTAGTGGGGGTCATCCTACACTGCGTTTGCCTGTACAGGGCAAAACTTTTCTTCCATATCGGTAGTCGGTTCTTCGAGCTATATGACCAGCTCAGTGCCACTTCAGCTTGCTGATTCTCCGAGCTATATCGGTGATTTTGGTTCTTTTGCGTAAAAAAGCATACCACGTGTTATTTTCGATTAAATAATTCTTTATAAACAAAATAAAATATATCTATTTCCATACCAACGCATAGATTTTCAATAAATAGAGTTCTTAGAATATTTAAAAAGAAAATTTATCCATTGTTACGTTTAAAATAAATTTAATCATCAGCTAATTGCTCTGCATAATATTACAATGCTCCGTCAACGCTCAACCAATTTGAACTTTTAATTGACGAGAGGGGAATTATTTTGTGCACACCAATGGTGTTATAAATTAAGCTGGATTTTATTACGCCATAGATTCAGGTATCTCTTGATGGTAACAAATCTAACATCAATTTCTTTTTTAATTTTTTAGGTTTTTTACCTTCATTATGCATATTTACCCTGTAGTACCCTGAACTGATTTCTCAGACAAGATATTATATATTCTGCTTACTCACTGAAAGAGAGAAATTAATGGGAAATATCTGTATATAGAATCGCTGTGTGGTCTCACCATAGCATGGGCCACCCTTTCCTTACCCATGAGTGTCGTATGAGGTGACTAAAAAATCTTAGTGGTCGAGGAATGGACAGCAGTGTCCGTCTTAAAACATCACAAAAGCCTAACTGCGGTTATACACCTGCCTGCAAGCATGGCAGTCACTAGCAAAACTCCCCTTATGGTGGAGACTATGTACAGCAGTGGACAGATAATGGCCGATAATGGTAACCCCGTAACCTTAATACTTAATCATTCAAATGAAAACACATCCGTGCAAGCACGATTCATATAAAAAACTTTCCACTTTTTACTGCAGAAACTACGAAAGTTTGATAGCTTTACAACAAATATAATAAAAAAAGCATCGCATATATACATAAACCTACATTGTAAAGATACACAATCGTTGTAAAACTTTTTAAAACTTACACTAAGAAAGGGAATAACATAAGAAACGTAATACGAATAGTTCGCAGGGCAAACTGGAAAAAAAAATATAGTTGCAACCGTCAACTTTCGAGCCCATATTCCGCTCAGCTTTATATCAAAGGTATATGCGCTTATTTTAATTCACTCCACGCTCCCTTCACAAGCAAGTGTCCTTTACCTAACCCAACTCCAAACTTCAAAAGCCCACCGTATTCTTAAACAAGCATGCCTTTACTTTCTACAAAACTATCAACATCTTTACGATCGAGGCAGTAAAGTTGAAAATCGCTTAAACATAATTTAAACGACGAATCTGTTAACGCATGCGCTACAGCGAAGGCGGCCATTTTCAGGAAAACAAACACAAACAAGGTGTGTTCGTACACGTACACGACTTTGTCACACGTACAGACGAGTGTGTATCAAATTGTACGGAGGATGCGGATGTGGGAAGGCACGTATGAGTGTTTGACAACACGACGTGGCTGTGTGCGTGGGATGCTGAGTAAAGCCTCCTTTACATTGGTACTGAAACGTAACATATATTTTGTTCCGTAGCTGTTAATTTAGGACTCATTTACATTACGTGACTTATCACCTTCTCACGTCGAATATTTTTGGAAGAGTTAATTAATATATATATATATATATATATATATATATATATATATATATATATATATATATAACTGTAAACGAAAATTTAAGATTGTGTTCCACAAAAAAAACCGACTTTAATTGTGGTAGTTATTTTTATTTAAAACTAAACTGCTTGAGCGATTTTGATAAAATTTTAAGAGATTAATCTCTAAGTATATTAAGAGTTTTTTTTAAATCAGTTTACAGTTGACGAAGTTATGAGGTAACAAACATAAAAAAATACAACTTAACTAAGAACCTCATTTCTAAACTCGGTTAATTATGGAAATAAAAGTCGTTTGCTTGGGCAACTCTGCCCCATTCGTGTTTCAACCGTGAAGCAGTTTTGTTCGCATGGCTGTGTTTGGATTTGAAGGGTAGGATGGCAGTAAATTTACAGGGTACAGAGGAATAACACCTGAGTCCTCAGGAATGGCAACGCATGGGGCGTATCATGGGTGAAACAGTGTACTCTGTTAAGTCCAGTGTACTGCTTATGTCTATAGGCGACGGTTACTAGTTTCCATCAGGTGGGCCGTCAGCTTGCTTGTCATTCGAAGTTACAAAAAACAAATTACACCATTGCAATACATTTTTTGTTTCTTTTGATATTTATTCTTCTACGTTAGCTAGTATTGTATATCTTCAAAAACAAACGAACCTAAAACATTACCAAAGCTTAGTTGCGGTTTTTTTGGATGATAATGGAATAGTATATATTAGTACTGCGCTATCAGTATACGCTGGCGGGGCACCAGTGAGAGATGATAGGTGAGAATGAAAAGGCAGGTCAGTTAGCCCATCGTGATGAATACACTTGGAATTCAACACGATGGTTTCCAGGGGGGACCACGTGGAGGACAACCTGACAGGATATATTGTTAGCAATGGAACGTAGTTAATATAATTTTTTTTATTTTTTTAACAACACAAACGAGCATGCGTCTCACCTGGTGGTAAGTGACTACCGCCGCCCATAATCACCCACAACACTAACGGCATTGCAGGTGTGCTACCGGCCTTTTAAAAAGGAATATGCTCTTTTCTTGAAGGTTATGATGTCGTATCGATTTGGAAATACTGCTGCTGGAAGTTGATTCCAAAGAGTGGTTGTGCATGTGTGTATTACTAACGATCACTTCCCTCCTCTTTCTAACTGCGGTTGCCAAGCGTGGCAACTATTTGAAATACCCTACAATAGAAGGCCTATGTTCAGAATTGGACAGTTAACGGTTGATATAGTATGTTTAATCTTCATTTTTTTTTCACAAGTGTACATTTTATAATTCTCATTATAAGCTTAAAATGTAACCTAATCTTGACCTAACACCCGAAAGGGCCGTTCGCATCAAAATTAAACAGCCGACAGCAAATTTCATTCTAACGCACAATGTCCCAACAAATTGCCGTACAAAACAAGGGCGTGATGTTAAAACATTTACACAATTTATTATTCCAAGTTGCTCTGGACGAGTCCCAATATTCGACCTGACCTGGCCGAGAGCGGCACGGATTTAGTGAGCCTCGCGCCGCCGTCGCGTGCGGGTGTACCTCGCGTGCATGCCCTACACTCTCTCCATCCCTCTCTCCCAAATCCTAAGTGCTGCCCGTGCGAAAGGAACACTAGTGGAAAAATATAAAACTAGGTACGTAACAGTAATTAACGGTTACCCCTGCGTTGCAGGGTTGAAGTATTTTCGAGTGCACTTTAATACCGCAATAGTTTGCGGTCGCTTTGTTTATGTAGCGAGATGATTTTATTTTTGACGGAACAGAGGTTATGATCATTTGTCAGCTGATGTAACTAACCCTTTATCGCTGTGTGGCTGTGACTTTACCTAATCTAAACACAGGTCATTTTTGTACTTTATTAAAAAAGTACATTAAACACATATGTTACATACAGTTATTTGTCTTGCCTTCCAATTCTATCGCTTCTTAATTCTTAATATTGAAATTTGATGTTGTATTAAAACAAAAAAAAATGGATATTTTTTTAAACAAATCGCATATTTTACAAAAAGGACTTTTTAAAGTTATTTTTGGTATAACTACAGCTACAATCGTAATTTACTATACTGCTTGCCTCTGGCAATGCTCGACAAATCAGAGAATCAGTACTATAATAATCATTACTGTCCCACCTCTGGACATGAAGGAGAGAATGTCGGTCTTCTGCTATGATCATCAGTCAGACAGCTCGATATATGAATTTATATCTATCCAATTTCCCCTTCTATGGATCAAAAAAATACATAAATAATATAAAAAACCAGTGGTTTGATGTTGTTTTCGTATTTTAGTCTCAATTTTGTTTTTTGTTTGTATATCATATTTCTATTTCTCCATTATGGGTATTTTGTACCAAAACTCATATACATGAAGTCTTCACTCTTCACTCGCGTTTTTGCCGCCAACCAGCTAAGTTTGAAAGGCAGTGTTCCTGTTTGAAAGGTGAGGTATAACTGTGAAAATAGAGTAAGGTGGCATTAGGTGGGCCATCCTCTTGGTAGGCCTGCTTCTTTACATTCTAAGTAATCTAAAAAAATTGTAAATTTATACATATATGCTACTAGAATTAAAGGGAAATAAACTTAAACATCTTCATTTATGTAAACACTAGTTTTTGCCTCCGGCTTCGTTCACGTATGGTGTTTGGTTTTTAATAATGATAAAATTGTTTATTTCTTAGCAAAAGAATCAATTTAGAATTTTGCACTTCTAACTTAAAGTTGAGAAATTTTCATCTAAATCAAATTATCCCCTATTTGACTTTATTAGGGATACAGTTTTCAAAAACTGCCGAAAAACTTTGATTTTAACAAAAAAAAAACTTAAAAAAAACTTTTATAAATATTCATTTATAAAAGTTTTTCCCCCATTTCACTCCTTTATGGGTGAAATATCCAAAAACAATGAAAAGTTTTTTTATTTATGTTTAATCAAAAGTCTAAAACTAAAGTTTCGTAATTCAAGCTTCAATTATAACAAAACTCCCATATAAATTTTCATCCCCTATTTCACCTTTTTAGGGGGAAATTCTTTATAAGCTAATAAACATATTAATTTTGGTTTGAAACCAAGAGCTTAAATCTAAAGTTTCACGTGTCTAACTTTAAAACCGACGAAATTCTATATAAAGTTTTAACTCCCGTTTTATCTCCTTAGAGATTGAATTTTAAAACTCTTATCTTATTGTTCATCATCATCATCATCATCATCATCACCATATCAACCATCAACCGTCCACTACAGAATAGCCTTCCCTATAAGGGGGGGTTTTGCCAGTAATTGTTACATTTGACAGCGGGTTGCCAACCGCAGCTAGATTCTTCATCGACCATTAAATTTCCTTAGTCGCCTTTTACAACACTCATGGGAATGGAAAGAGTGATCCATTCTATGCCGAGACCACACGACTTGCTGTTCACCTACGCTATACAAGGAACCTATCAACAAACTTCCAAGATTCTAGATTTAAAGACTTCGACTGTGTAGTGATATATGGGTCAGCTAGTCAGTCACTCAACATATCAACATACATTTTTATACATTATATATTTCATATTTAGTTTTTGGAAATATAAATATTTATACCAATTACATACACTTAACTTTCAAGTCCTTACCCATCATTATTGCTATTGGCATCCCTCTTCATCCACCTCTCTTTTTACTCAATTATTTAATAGAATGCTTTGTCATTGAGGTCAAAATACGCTTTGCGTCTTCCACAGTACATTTTCTATTCATTCCTTCTCTTTTTATTACAAATCTATTAAAGTTGTTTAAGAAACTCTCTTATGTAGACGTATCATGTCCATATATTTGATATGACCATTAGAATATATAATAAAATACCAAAATTAGGGGGAAAGGGATTGTTATTAATGGAGACTGAGAATACCATTGCTAGCAATATACCCAACCAGGTCGACCTCCTCGCGGTTCCCCCTGGAAACTATCATGGTTAATTCCTAATGAATTCATCATGAAGGGCTAACTGGCCTGTTTCCATTCTCATCTATCACCCTTCACTGGTGCTCCGCCAACGTATCCCGTTAGCGCAGGCGGGGTTACCATACCCTTTTCACCCAACAAAAAAAAAAAACCAAAATCAATAATGGAACTGCCAGTAAATCACTTTAAACTACAGTTAAAAAATGGTTACTGGATTACAATTTTTATTCAATAAATGACTTTTTAAAATATTTAAATGTATGTAAATGTATAAATAATTCAACTATATTATATACTTGTATATATTTATTATATTTAGGGATTTTAATTTTGAACTTTTGGACTTATTATTTATGTATATGTATATCTGTTGTTTATGAGTTTGTCAAGTTTCCTTCTTTAATCTAATATCGTCGTATATCTGTAATACTAAATACTGTATTAAGAATACTGAATAATTTCAAAGCAAAACATTATTATTTTAAAATACAGATAGGTAGATAAACAGATCGGTACATCATTTATTTGCATCATTTACAGTACACAAATACACAAAAGAAAGAGGGGGGAATATTATATATATATATATATATATATATATATATATATATATATATATATATATATAGTATTTATATATATAATATAAATAAATACATAAAATACACGATTTGAATAACAAACTTGCCTGCTGAATGGTACGGGAGACTTTTTTTTATTTTTTCTACTTATGTTTAGTACAAATGATCAAATTGACAGTTGCAATACACGTTCAAAAACGTCAATGATTCATTCATTTTCATCCCCGTTAAGTACAGACGAGTTTTGTATATTTAACATTTAACTAGAAAATGAGGGAGTTTCTATAGTTATGTAAACACGCAATTGGCCAATTTTTATCCAATTTGGCTAGGGACGTCAACTCTGTCACAACCAGAAGAGGAAGGTACGGCCGAAATGGAAATGTTACATTTTATTTTCATATACAGAAAAGCGGAAGTTCTCGATTTGACTACAATATATTGTACTAGATACATTATAATATTTATTGATTCCTGTGGCTTTGTCCGCGTGATTCAGTAAATAAACAATGTGCACTATGTGCTAAGTTAGGATATGCCTATCCATACCAGAGGAAGACTTTGTACAAAAGTCGTTTGCTTGGGCATCTCTGTTTCATTCGTGTTTCAACCGTGAAACAGTCGTGTTTGCATGGTTGTATTTCAGTTTGGAGGGTTGGATATGGCAGTGAATTTACAGGGTACAGAGGAATAATACCTAAGTCCTCAGAAATGGTAACGCATGGGCGGAACAGTATACTCTGTTATGCCCACTGTACTGCTCTTGTCTATAGTCGACGGTTACCGGTGTAAATCAGGTAGGCTGTCAGCTTTTTTCCCATTCTAAGTTGAATAAAAAAAAATATTTCTCAAATTTGAACAGTATTTAATAACTTTTTTATAATCGATTGGGAGTATATTATTTATTATTCAGTAGCCACATCAGCCTCAATAGATTCCACGAGTCTGCAATTAAAACAAATTTAACTGCAGGCAATTTTTTAAGCATTAAATAAATAAACGAATAAATACCAATGATTATTTGAAAATGATTGCTAACCTTTCTTTAGCAGTCGAATTAAAAAAAATAGATATTCAAAATGGAAGTCAACAACTTATAATATATATTTAAAAAGTTTATATTAAATTAATAAATTAATTAATAATAATTATTATTTATTTATTTATTCAATATATCTCATACTTTGGTTATATGATAAGAAATTTATATATATATATATTTTTATTGCACTAAAATATATAGTAATAATAACAAATTAGTAACAAAGACGAATGATTGTCTCTAAAAGAGATTTCTTCCAGTCAACCTAACATAGTGGCATAGGGGGGAAAGGGATTGTTAGTAATGGAGACTAACAATCCCATTGCTAGCAATATACCCAACCAGGTCGACCTCCTCGTGGTTCCCCCTGGAAACTATCATGGTTAATTCCTGATGAATTTATCGTGATGGGCTAACTGGCCTGTTTTCATTCTCATCTATCACCCTTCACTGGTGCTCCGCCAGCGTATCCCGTTAGCGCAGGCGGGGATACCATACCATTTTCATCCACCAAAAAAAAAACAGTGGCATAGGAAGTAGTAACTATTATTTTAAAAAGATCAGCATAAACTTGTTAACTTTTAATATGCTTCTTATTACATTATTTTTTTTTCTAGCCAAAGCCTACCAATTACACATCTAAATCGTTACTTCGTGTGTCTTCATAAATCTTTCACGGTGTCCACGAGTGATTAACCCAAATATAGGGTCGTCTTAATCATGGCGCCGTATATTTTTATTAGCCGCGGACAAGTCACGTCGTGGTGGCCGGACCCTTCTCATTTTGACTTGAGAATTATACTGTCAATGCTGTGGATTGCTTGCGGGATTCCACGAATCGTCTAGGACGATCTTCGTAATGAGGTGCTTTGCATGAATTTAAAAAAAGAAATTCGTGTATTTAAGAATATTATATTTTTTTGTTTGTATAAATATAAATGCGTGTATATGGGTACAAACACACACACACATACACACACATATACACACACAATCACACACACGCACGCACGCACGCACACGCACGCACATGCACGCACACGCTTACATACGCACACACATG